GTATTCACATTATCGACACTATACAGAATTGAAGTGAAAAAAAATGTCAATTTTAAGTACACAGACAGCCTTTTAATCGTACACCATAAACTCAAAATCGGTTATTGTCTGCTCTTCATGATCTACCCTAGAAATACAAAGTTTCATTATGAATTTTTAATGTATTCTTTTATATCAATATAACTAATATTAATATTATTTATTTAAGAATAATTTAATACTATACATAGAAAATTCAATGCAATAAATTGTCATTCATTAATTGATTCATCATTTTTCTAGAATTATTTTAGCAATGGTGTTCTTAATTTTCCTCATAGCATTCCTTAAATTTGATACAAATTCTTCGTATGTTAAACCCTCATATCGCATGGATTCTTCAAAAAAGAAAAAAGGAGTATTAAATATTTATTGAAACACACGCTGAAAAAGCAGGCGTGGGTGGTAGCCTTACCATATAAACAATTTAAATAATTAGCATATGTTTTTAATGCTTCCTTTTCCTTTGTACCGTTATAATTGAATTCCGATAGAATATCTTTACCCAATATTCTGTTAATATTTCTAAGGGAATTTTGTAAAATTTTTCTCATGGTTACAATCTAAAAAAATAATAATAATAATAAAATATATATTTAAATATGATTTCTAAAAATGGTTTACATTCTTGATTTTTCAAAGACTACTTACAATTTTTGGCGTTTTTCTGTCTGCAAAATACCTTCCATTTCTTTTAATTTTTCCTCTGAGGTAATTGGAAACTGTGTCTCCTCACAAATGCTGAAATTTTCCCGAAACAAATTTTGATGTTCGACTAGTGTTGCTACAGCATCCACTTGTATTTCAGTAATATATTTTAATTGTTCTTTTATGGTTGACATTTCGCGGATAATGTTATGATTGGTTGGTTGTTTTTCTTCCGTTTCTGGAAAATTGAAGAAAATTTAACCGATTAGAAGATTACTCTTTTTAGGACAATAATGGTCGTAAAAAAATGTGGCCCTGCAAATATAAAAACGAATGTTCAGCAAATTCATTGGGAAAACTTCTTACCTTTCTTACCTTTTGACAGTTCTTTTCTGTTGCAAATATTACCGGCATAAACGTCTTCTATATTAATTTCATCTTTAATATGTATGGAAGTTGCACAAAATTCATTGTCGGTGTCGCTATCATTTGCTTGATTCGCATGATTACGTAGTGTTGACTGTTTTTTGATAATATCTTTACAAAATTGTATAAAATTAGACAATTGGTCATTACAGTCTTGGCAAAGTACTTTCGAGACAGGATCATCCTTAGTAATCTGAAAAAAAATAATTATTAGGCAAATTATTAGCTTATATATCAATTAATATATTTATGAGATAAAAACATAATATCCGGATGGGCTTATATTTCATACATAAATGAAAACCGTACACATGTGGACATATTCTAAAAAAATTAATGTCCTCATCCGGAACAACCAAAAATGAAAGATACACACATCATAAAAAAATTTAGGGTTCGTTCGGGGATCATTTTTGAAATTTCGGTCTACATGAGTCCGAATGGTCCAGATAACAACATTATTTATTATAATATGTTTTTATTAGTTCTTATAATTGACCTGGAATGATATATAACACCATCTATTACTCCAAAGGAAAGAGACACTAATTTTCTATGAAAACGAAATTTTGAATCCATTTTTTGGGAATCTTAATCACTTAAAATTGATACCCATATCGGCGTTGGTTAAGTAAATATGAATTTCCGCAAAAAAAAAAAAAAAAAAATCAATAGTGCAGCTTATAGTAAATGTTTCAAAACGATTCGCGATTAAATCTTAATTTGTTTAATTTCAAATGTTATCAATATTAAATAATTTTATTAATAAAATAAAATTTTATTTTATTATTATATTTTCGATTACGATAGCAAAACATTAAATCCAGGTATTTGAAATCAAAGATAAATTAAAAAACTTAATTGATCAAATAATTGATCAATTTCCGTTCGAATATCATATCTTCCGCGATAGGAATACGATGTCACCGGCGATAATTTCTACCGCCTGGAAGATATTTTGGATATTTTCCCCTCCATAACAACAAACCTACCTTAATATCCAAGCATTTTTCACCGCCGACGTTTCTTCCGTATTTTTGGAACTAGCATCTTTTCCGCAAAGTTTTACAGCATACACTATAGATATATTGTTTAAACACAAGCGACAAATCATAATTTATTTTCGAAAATTTTACTTGTTATCCGGAAAATATAAAGAAATACGATTGTGTTTATATTCTTCTTCTTTTTAAGTATTCACATCAGAACGATAGCCATATGAATAAATTGGTGCATCTTCAATAGAATGGACAATACTTGACAAAGTTCTTCAACGGACATTTGAATTTATAAATTGTAAAAAACACTCAGGAAAAGACATAAATAAAAAAATGAATCAAATATTTATGATACCTTACACCACTTTGGATATATACAAAGGTTCTGTAACAAAAATTGGGAACTAATACTTTTTACGGGAACCTCCCATTTGTAGGTCTTCGGAGTTATAAACGGTATATACATTAGAACTTTTTACCGGGTTAACCTACTTTATGAGGATTTATTTGACATATATGCAAAGGAATTGACAATTGATACCCACTGGGTTAACGAAATCCGGTTAAATGTAAACGTAATAATACACAGGTTTTTTTATTCGTTTTATATAAGGTATATGTTTAATTAATATTGTTTAGGATTTAATGTTCAAAAAATATTTAAGATTGACCCTTTTTGTAGGAGGAACCAGAGGAGAGGGCAGACGGGTCCCGCGTTCGGGCTCGATCTAGGTTCAAATCGGGCATACCATTCGCCTAATATTGGATTTATAAATATTAAAAATGTGTGGGAGGTACCAGAAGGAGTGGACCAATTGGTCCTATGTTCAGACCTGATCTAGCCTTAATAAAGATAATATATTGTGCAAATTATGGTTCAAATCGGACATTTCGTTCTCCTGATACTGGTTTTATAAATATTAAACATTTTGACCCTTTGTGGGGGAGGTACCAGAAGAAGTGGATCAATGGGTTCCATCTTCATACTTGATCAAGGCTTGGTAAAAATAATAAGTTGTGGAAAGTTTGGTTTAAATCTGACTTTGAATTAGCCTCATACTGGATTTGTAAATATTGAAAATTTTGACCCTTGGTGTTGGAGGTATCAGAAGGAGTGGGCCAATGGATCCCATCTTCGGACTTGATCTAGGCTTGCTTAAAGTAATAGGTTGTGCAAAGTATGGTTCAAGTCTGACATTGAATTAGCCTGATATTGGATTTATAAATATTGAAAAATTTGAACCGCTGTGGGAGAGGTACAAGAAGGAGTGGACAAATGGGTTCCATTTTCATACTTGATCAAGGCTTGGTAAATATAATAGGTTGTGCAAAGTTTGCTTCAAATCGGACATCCCATTAGCCTGATATTGGATTTGTAAATATTGAAAATTTTGTGGGGGAGGTACCAAAAGGAGTTCACCATTGGGTCCCATCTTCCTACTTGGTCTAGGCTTGTTAAAGATAATAGGTTGTACAAAGTTTCGTTAAAATCGGATATTCCGTTTGAGTGTTATTATAAAATTAATTTTTAGCGCAATTTTGACCATTTTGAGGGGCAAGTACCAGAACGAGTGGACCGATATTCCCCCATATTCGAACTTAAACTAAGTTTGGAAGAAATATTAAGATGTGCAAAGTTTGGATGAAATCGATTATTCCCTTCGAGAGTTATCGTGCGCACCAGACTGATGGACAACGCACGGACAGACGGACATGGCTAAATCGACTCCAAATTTTCTGAAACGGATTTGGCCCAAAGAAACATGGGGTCTAAAACCGTTATTTCGGTGATGCACATTTTCACCGTATCAAAGTGTATATACCCTCATTAGCCATAAGGCTGAGGGTATAAAAAATCGAAAAATTTTAACCCTGTGGTACAATTACAATTTAACCCTGTAATACAATCTGCTAATGTAGATATTATGGACAAATTTCCCAGGCAGCAAATTGGTCTGTCTGTTTAATCCGAAATTTTGCACATCGTAATATTTGTTCCTAAATGAGGAATATCGGCACATTTCCTCTGGTACCATTCTCACGAAGTGTCAACATTTAAAAAATTCTTTGTCCCATATCAAGCGAATGGTCCAATTTGGTCCAAACAGCTGCACATCGTAGTATTTTACCAACTCATATTTATTTATTTATATATTTCATAGTGCCCAGTCTTTCGACCTTAAGGCTGTAAGCTACATTTCACAATTAAATATAAATTTTATCGTATTAAGCGGCTTAAATGTAAAAGGGAGGGATATTGAACTACTAAAGAATATTATACCGATTAAATTACAAAAAAAAGTTTTTATTATTATAGATTATGATTAAAAAATTTGATTAATTGGTCATAAGTCATAGTCATAAGACTACTCCAGTAGGAATGGAATGGAAAATTATTATATTTTATATATTTAATGAGTTGTGTTTTTATCTAAATAATTTGTATCACAAGAATAAAAAAAATTAAACATACATACGTACATTAAAAAATTTAATTGAATTTGAACTACTCCATATTTAAGTCCGACACAAAGGGTCAACATATTAAAAATAGCTAAATAAATAAAAATAAATTTTAAAAACACCAAACATATATTAAATCAGAGATTGGACAAAGACCGGCTATTTAATATAAATTTTAATTTAAAGGAAGTTTTTTTTCGTAAATTCTCTCCCGAAATCCGGCTATTTAATACAAAAAGATTTTTTTCTTCGATAATAAGCGATTTCGACTGCTTTTAGATTGTAAAAAGACTGTTATAAGCGATTTCGTCTGTATTCTGATAGTATTGAGATTGTTTAGATTTTCCTATTTTTCACAAATAAACACACATTTTTATAAGTATATTTTTCGTTTTTATTTATTTTTTTATTTTGTGCTTAGTTCGACTATTCCAAATAATTTGCATCATAGTTTTGCAGCTCCATTTTCAAACGCCAAAATCTATTCCAAAATCCTACATCTATAACATGTTGAGGTATCGACCAGAAAGACACTTTTGTATATTCACATATTGCCGGATATGTGCAATCATCACTGTCGTACAAATCCTCCCACACTAGGGTAAAGATTCCAAGTGACAGAAACCTCAGCCGATTTTGATTGATGGCCTCTTGCAGACGTCTTAAATATGCATCTGATTTGGGATTTTGTAATGAAGGGTGTACCATAATCATATTGTTGGTGGCCGTACGAAATTGCATATTGAAATCTTCTTCATCGGGATTCCGTTTGCCGAACAAATACATGGTATATCCAATGCCACCGTTGAACATAGCCTTCTTAGGCTTCTCAATACTTTCCTTGACCACTCCAACGGCTACATCTTTATAGTCGGTAAGCAAACTTTTCCAATAGTTTGTGAGTCGTTCCACAAATGTTCCCTTGAAACGTTCCGGTAAGCTGAATGTGTTGTCGATACGGGTGCGTACGCTGGCGATGCGGTTGGACAGGGAAAACAAACGCATGGTGAGGTTGATGATATTTTTATTTTCCTATTGCTATTTTAATTCATTAGTTATTACAAAAAAAGTAAGTGTACTGAGTGTTATCATATAACTCCCTGACCATTAAAAAACACACTACAGTGGTAAACATCTGTTTCGTGGTTCTTGTCATAATCAGCTGTTGTCCGCAGTTAGTGGTGTTAGTAGCGTATCGTATTTACGACATGTTCAATGTTTGGGCCACAGACATAAACAAACAAGCATGCGAGCGCTATAGATCTTTAACAGAGTGTTTTGTGTTTATTTTCGGCAGAGTATTGAAAAATTAGTAAATAAACATGCCGAAACGCTCATTACGATTCTATTTGGATACTCCAAAAAGCTGCTTACAGAAACTAAATCGTAAAAGAAAATCCACAACTGATGATTATCTACAAGTTAAGAATAATGAAACTGCCGAAGACCGTGAAGTTGATGAAGATGTTACCGGGGGAGATGAAATCCCTTCCAATGAACTTACTGATGCTGAATTTGAAGCCTCCTTGCGAAAGACCAAACAAATGCGTTGCATAAAATACAATCAAAATAATGAAATCGAAAGGCTGCTCCTACACAACGGATCCGGTCTATTCTATCACGTGGATCATAAAGATTTTCCAGCATTTAATGTTGGTCTGTGGCCACAGGAGGCTGACAATTCACTGAATAATTATCCATCATGTGCCTTCTCAATACCACGTCCGATATTCATTGCCGATACAATACAGGAAAATATAGATTTGTGTTGTCGTCGGCCCATGATTAGGGAGTTTCACAGAAGTCGTTTGTATAAAACAAGATCTGCCTACAATAATGCAATTAAGAGTAAGTTGTTTAATATTGGGTTGATAAATTATAAAAATGTAAATGGTTTACCTTTTAATTTTAGATAAAGTTGCTAGAAGTGATGAAAAAGTGGGTATATATCATACATCGGTGTTCGATTTGGCGGAAAGACTGCTGCTCGAACCAGATCCATATTTTCAAGCAAGTTATGATTATTATTACACTGGTGGTAATTTGTGTGTTAATTCCGAAACGGGCAATATTATTCATGCAACAGGATCAAATCTGCAGACAATTGGTAAGTATGATGGAAATTTTATGACAATTAAATATATGTAACGAAGGATGAGGGACACTCTTTTATAATTTGTGAATGTCATGTCTTTCGGGAGTAAATTTTACAAATATGCTGTCTTTCCCCAACTTTATTGATCTGTTCCCGTACTGCAAACATACCAAAGCAGAAGGAACACTTAGGTTTATTAAAAATAGAAAATGTGATACCTAATTTGCTTCTTACTCAAAAACTAGTAAATCTGTTCAAACTTTTGGTCTGTCCCCGTACTGCAAGAATTTATTTTTTTTAGATTTTTTTACTTTTTTCATTTGGGCAAATTTAGAGTCGTTTCCGTACAATGGGACAAATTTACGTAAAATGTAAAAAATTTACAGCTGCAATTTGCAATTTATTTAAATCTGCAACGATTTTCACGAAACTTATTTCAGTATGCTATGAGAAATTTCGTGCAAATCTAAATATATATTGACTTTAGTGCACCATTTACATTAAATCGGACTAAAGTATATAGGGGAGCTATATCTAAATCTGGTCCGATTTTCACGAAAATTTACACACACCATTCCATACTTAATTCAGTACGCTATGCCAAATTTCGTGCAAATCGAGAGATTGGTAGGGACTATATCTAAATCTGATCCGATATTCACGAAACTTAACTCAACTTAATTCATTACGATATGCCAAATTTCATGCAAATCGAAAGATATATAGGGACTTTGGTGCACCATTTACATAAAATCGGCGAAAATATATATGGGAGCTATATCTAAATCTGAAACGATTTTCCTCAACAGACGGACGGACATACATAAATCGACTCAGAAAGTTATTCTATGCATATTCTCAAAAGGAACCATGAGTCTATCTCGTTTCCTTTTGTCTGTTACAAACATATGCACAAAGACATAATGCCCTGTTCCACATGTGGTGAAGGCTATAATTATCAATATCAGTCCACTTTTTTCTCACCGATGTGGCTTAAAGGCTTCTTGAAGGCTGATTTAGAAATATACAGAAAATGATACATATTTGTCCATGTTTTGACATAGCCCCTACATATGGGTCTCACTCCATTCGGTATTGTAAAGATTTTAACCAAAAATTTTGAATAGAAAATCTTTTAGAATAAAAAACGTCTTTCCACAAGTTCAATATAGTTAAATTTTTAATATATGTATGCTGAAGATCTTACCCCACTTTGCTAACCTGAATTTGTGTACTTTGGTCCTCGTGTAAAAGCCCCAACATATTTAAGGAGTAATGAATGCACCCCACGAGATGGAGGGTATAAAAAGTTCGGCCAGGTCGAAATTAACGATGTTTTTACATGTTTTTGTAATAATTTATGATGGAACTTACAGAATTCGTGGAGCTATAGACTTCATATTATTTTTCAGATCTATTTTTTTTAAGAATAATATTTCATATAGTGAATTATCTTGTGCAAAAGCAAACTAAATGGAACAACAAGTTTCAAACGAGTTTTGCGTAAGCAAATAATCGAATCTCAGTTGTAGAGGATATTTTTTTCAGTTCTATTTTGTTAATAATTATATTTCCCTTCATAATTACAGAAGCAATGAAATACTGTAAATCTGAAGATGTGGTGGATGATGAAGCGAACTATTTACAATCTTTGGATAAATTGACAACAACAGAAAATTGCGAAATATTCGAGATACAACCAATGACAACACCAAATACACATCAACAAAATTGTTTCATAACACGACAGAAAAATTCAATTGCCATACATACACTACACGACGAGAGTAATCGATTGAAAATTGTAACACAATTTCGTACAAAATCTACACCGTTTATAAGTTTTACACAATCCGATCGTGATTACAATAAATTGCTGTTGACAACAATGAAACAACATGTTCGGCTGTATGATATTGGCAACAGCGAACCTGTATTGAGTGAATTATTTAAAATTGAATCGAAGGGATTTAACCCATCGTGGAACACAATAAAACCATGGCGTGAAAATACATTTTTATATGCCAATGAATATAAATTTTGTCTTATTGATATACGTACTCAGCCGGAGCAATGGTTAGCGGCTGCAACACATATTATCGAACATAATGCACTCTGTGATCACATATCTGCCATAAAGCCAAGTGAATTTAATAATCAATTTTATGTGGCAACAAATCATAAGCTGCATTGTCTCGATATACGATATATGAAACAATTTTCATTTAATGATCCCGAAGGTGTTATATGCCGTTGGTCACATCAGTTACATTATCCACCGCTGATGATAGATACGTATAGGGTGCGTAATAACGAATATATTGCATTGGCTTCACCAATAGCTGGCGATATGCATATCTGTCAATTGTCACGACAAAAGAACGAAGAGAAAATGGTAGTGACAACATCAAATCGTGTCCCAAAACATATTTTCAATTCGCCGTGTTTGCCCTATCAACCGCCAACATTAATTGAGGCATATGAACATGCCAGATTAGAGGGTTACTGCTTACAGCCGGAGGCTAACTTGAAAAATCGTTTGTTGGCATGTACCACCGGTATGAGTTTTTGTCATCCGTTGATGGAAGGAAATGAGGCCCCTCTGGGATCGTTATTAACCTCCACGTCTTTGGGTGATATATTCATACAAACATTGACGAAACGAGAAGGTGAAGAACCTGAATCAAGAGGCAATGAGGATAGTAATGAAGTTATGGCGGAATTTGCAAAAAAGTTGGCTAAGCAAAATCATATATTAAACTACACGGAAATTAAGAATATGAAAAGTGAGTATGTTTATCAAGAATATGACGAAGACAAGGGAGTCAATTTAAATATTTTTTGGGAATTGTATTAAAAAAATGTCAATCGTTCCCTTCTTCATTCCAGCTATGCGAAAAATATTCCTTTGCAAATATCTCAATACTCCCGCAAAACAGGATATCGATGCCATGGACGATAGTTTCAGTGAAAACGAACAGCCCGACGAACAAACTCAAACACCTCGCGTCGTGAAAAAGAAACGAAAACGTTTAAATTTAGGTCGATGGCAAAAATCATTTCGCACATTACATTCCTATAAAGACGCCTTGGTTTCAGACCTCTTATCTATATGGGATATTGATATGGAAGATGAAAAGGGTGATGTTAATTTGGAAAACTTACAAACTAATCTTCATGTAAAACCAGATCCCGAAAAGAAAGTTCAAAATTGGTTGGAAACCAATGTTACGCCAAATCCTGCACCTATGGTTGTTATACCAACATGCGATACATCTAGTATATCGCGACAAGATATTACAAATACTAAAGTGGAAACAGAAATTAGTATGATTTTCAATCAAACACAAGATACAATAGATTTTGATAATGTCATTCAATCAACACAAATTGGTGATGTGGCCAATATGACTGAAACATTTAATATGTCTAATATTGAAGAGACAACGTTAAATATAACCGCAAATTCATTGGATCGTTCCAACCAAAAGCCCAAAAAGAAAGCTAAGAAATACGTTAAAGGTTTCTAAAAGGCAAAACAATGAGATTACAAAGAAGTACATATTTAAATTATTTTTAAATTAAAAAGAATAATTAAGATAAATAATTATTAAATTTATAAATTTTATTTTAAATCATCATTTATATAATGATGATTTGCATATTTTTATTTTTTACTAATTTAAATTTTTTATAATTTTTTCCTTAATTTCTTAACTATTAGATAACATATTAAATAAAATTAATTTTTGTTTTCACTATTAAAAATTATAAAAATTTTCACATAGTATAAAAATTATATTTTATTATAAATAATTAAGAAAATAACTGGTAAGTTCTTTTTTTTTACAATCACGAATTTTTTAATTCATAATTTTATAACGAAATTATTATGTTATGTGGTATGTAACAAAAATAAAAATACGGACATTTAAACAAATTAAATTATGTTTTTTTTATTATATGAGATATTACGATGTGCAAAGTTTGGACGAAATCGGTTGCTCCCTTCGAGAGTTATCGTGGGCACCAGACGGCCAGACAGAAATACGGACATTTGTAAATCGACTCCAAATTGTCTAAAACTGATTTGGTTTAAAGAAACATAGGGTCTAAAACCAATATTTCGATGAGACACATTTTCACCGTATCAAAGTGTTCTTATATACCCTAAGTAGCCATAATGTGAGGGTATAAAAATATACAAGAAAGTCATCAGACGCCGAGTACACATTTTTTCTTAAATTGAATCATATAATTTGAATCTACACTGATTAAAGAATGTCTCTACAAAATTTCAAGTGAAAATCTCAAGAACTCTTGAAGATATAGCCGATTTATTGTGTCAGCATCAAGTGACGGCTGAAGGGCTTCTCAAACTTTAAACGCGTTTTTCTCTAAAAATTTTTTTGCGAATGGCGGGCACGATAACTCAAAAACTAATAATCCAATCGGTTCCAAATTTTGCAACGTTTCTCTGGGAGTGTATAGCTCTCGTATGAACTAGGATAAAGCCAATCGGTGAAGATCTTCCTTATTTTTTAACTTAATTTTTGGTAAAAAATCGGCGATTTTCCAAAAATAGTTTTTCAAAGGTCCACCATTTTGTTAATTTTAGAGCGAAGTCAATAATCCTAGTTCATACGAGAGCCAGGCATGTACTCTTTCTAACACCGTTGGAATTTTCGGATTTCGATGTTCCAGTGAGTGGGAGTGGGAGTTATCATGCCCGCCATAAAAAATAAGGACTTTTCTTTAATTACAAAAAACAACAACAAAACAATAACAAAATTGTTTTGTAAATTATTTTTCTTCTCTTTTAAATCTTCAATTATATATGTGCAAGGTTACAAACCTTAACAATCATTTGTATTCATTTACCAGCCCATTGAAAATCTTGAAAAATTAAAATCGAGAATGGGTGGGGTTCCCTTAAGAAAAAATAACCATGTACAGTTTTTTTTAGAAAAAATATTTTGCTTTTTAACAAAACTATTCATATCTTAGAATCTGACATCATTACGGATATTTTTATCACTAAATCCATTTTGAAATACCATAAAATTTTAGGGGTCATAAAAATCGGATTTCTCGATTAATATTTATACCCTTCACCACACTGTGGTACAGGGTATTATGTCTTTGTGCATATGTTTGTAACAGGTAAAAGGAATCGAGATAGACTTATGGTTCCTTTTGAGAATACGCATAGAATCACTTTCTGAGTCGATTTATGCATGTCCGTCCGTCCATGTATTTTTGTGAACAAAGTACAGGTCACATTTATCATCCGGATTGGATGAAATTTGGCACAGCTCATATATTTGGCTCATATATTTGTCCACCTCATGGTGGAGGGTATAAAAATCCTCCTTATTGTTAACACCTCTAATAGCCTTTAATATAATTGCCACCACTGCGTATGAGTTGTAATCAAACATAATCCATGTCACGTATACGACACCTTGAGTTCACGAATAAAATCATCAATCAACAGTTGGGCCATAAAGATATATTGCGTTTGTATTTGTATTGAACATAACAAAAATATCATCTAAAGTGTCCAAACTGTGTTTATTCGTGTGTATGATTTGACATGATGTATCCCATGTCAAAATCTATAATCAAATAAAAATCAGTTATTTGTCTCAAAGGAAGCTGCAGTAGCTGACACTTAAAGGAGGCAAAATGTTAAAAGGATAACTGACAATGTTACTGATAAACGCATATAAAGAGAGAAAGGAAAAGTGTTTAAATGTGCATTATTGTTGTTACAGTCTCTCTCCCACACATACACACACAAAAACTCTGTGTGTAGTCAATGAATTTTCATTGTTGTCCTTAACACTCACACTCCCCCACCATATGATTTTTGGTTTCAGTCTCGCTCTCTTTCTTTCGTTTGAACTTGATTCGTGGTTTTTAGTACAAATGAAATGCGACGATTTAGGACAACGAAATAAACGAAAGGAATTCATTCAGTCTCTACCTGTGCCATCAACAGTTTTATAACAGTCGTGTTGGTGAACGTTTGTGGTGTTCGGAATAACAATTCAATTGGAGGCAATATAACACACAAAAAGTGAAAATTCAAAAGAAGAAAATTCTTAAAAATATATTCACAAATTTGTGTTTAAATTTATTAATGAAGATATAATTATAAATAAAAATAATTATGGGCTATTTTGAAAAATAAAAAATAATTATTATTTATGAGAAAATCATAAAAGTAAATTGAAATTGAAAATAAAAGTGAAAATTATATATAGTTTGAAAAAGTGTTATGCAAAAATTCCGTCGCACCCCGCTCAACATATCTCGCCACAGAGTTACTAAACATTTCTTCCCACCTCCATACCCACACAGCAGCATCAATAACAACAACAGCAACAAAGAAGCCAGCATACTGAAAACAGTAGTTTTTGTCTGTTACACAGACACAGCCACACACACACACGCACACAAACAAATACGTACAACTAAAGCTTACGCTCAGGACAAAAGCGTACATCTTGTTTGTGCAGTTTCTGTTAATATCAAGATATTCGCCTACCTTTTCCATTTTCGGCAGGGATGATAAAAACGATAACTTCGTACTTTTTGGACATTTTCTCCAGTTAAGGATGTTATCTTAAAAACTATATATATGGATTAAATCATTTTCCAGGGAAGACTATTACTTGTTGTTAATTGACTGTATTTTTTGTTGCTTCTTAAAGAAAAAGATCCGGGTTTTAGGATATTTTCGTTAAAAAATATATAAATCAGTAAGGAAATTAGTAAAGTCTGACGGGACCGACTATATGATCCCCTTCACCACTATGGGCCATTAACATGAAATTGGATAAACTAAAATATCTGACCTTTATCTAAATGTGAACCGTCTTAGATCAATCCATAAACATGTCATTCGTTTGTTACAATGGGACAAAATTATGTAAATCGATTCAAAGCAAATATCAATCGGGCAGCCGTTGAATATTTGGTGCCCAATTATCTGTCGAAATATATATATATATATATATATATAGGCTATCTGAATCGATTCCAGAAAAACTTCAAAACACGTTGAGCTATACTGACTTCAGTACGTTGTCCAAAATTTTGGTGTCAATCGACCTAATTTGGGTCTTTGATGCACCATTTATTTAAAATCGGACGTATATATAACGCACATCATTGTAAACTTAATTCAGAACGCTGTGCCAAATTTCGTACAAATCGAAATATATATAGGGACTTCCGTCCACCATTAACATTAATTCGGAGGAAAATATATATGGGAGCTTTATCTAAATCTGAACCGATTTTTACGAAACTTATCATAAATCGGATCATAAATGGGACCTGTATTTTGTGCACAAAAATACGTGGACTGACAGACGGACAGACGATAGACTTGCATAAATCGACTCAGAAGGTGATTCTATGCATATTCTCAAAAGGAACTATGGGCCTATCTCGATTCCTTTAGCCAAACATATGCACATAGACATAATACCCTGTACCACAGTGTGTTGAAGGGTATAATGATTCTAGATTAGCACGACTAGGATTCGAACCTAAGCACCCATAGGTTCAGAGAAAATATGTGCCAGACTTCTTAGCGTTCTTGACCATCAAGACACTTCCGAAGATTGCTGTGTATACCATGGGAGGAATTGTAGGTGTGTGGATTAATTATCCATCGCCACAACAAAATCTGCTTTCACAGATGCAATTTGACATCAACTGCGATATAAACACAAGTTATCAACCTGATGAGCCGCTTAACCAACGGCGAAATGCGTCACATAATGGTGGGTTCTCTCCCTGGCGTTCCGTTTCATTTCGATCGAATCGAAAGAGAACAAATTGGCTTAAGTTTTTTTATTTAATTCGAATCTACACTATTTCAAGAATGTCCCTACAAAATTCCAAGTGAAAATCTCAAGAACTCTTGAAGATATAGTCAATTTATTGTGTCAGCATCAAGTGACGGCAAGAGTGTTTGTGGCCAAAAATAGGCGAAATTCAAAAAAAAAAAAAAAAAAGGTCCGCCATTTTGAGAGCCAAACATGTAACACCCTTGGAGTTTCCGGATTCCGATGTTCCAGTGAGGAGTTACCATGCCCGCCATAAAAAATAAAGTCTTTTCATTAATCACCAAAAACAACAACCAAACTTTGCAAATTATTTTTCTTCTCCTTCAATTTTCTTCAATTATATATGTGTAAAGTTACAAACCTTAACATGCATTGGTATTCATTTACAAGTCCAATGGAAATCTTGAAAATTTAAAATCGAGAAGGGGGGAGGTCCCCTTAAAATCATTCAATGATCATCGCCCTTACAGGCAAAACCCAAAGAAAAAAATAGTCCTCAGTGTCTTAAAAATTGTTTCTACGAAAAAATCCGTCCTCAGAGTCGAAGTATTTTTTCCATCGAAAAAATAGTCTTAATTTCTTGATTTTTAAAATTAGGTCTCAAGTACCAAGAATTGTAAAAATCATCCCTGTCATTAATCCATTACTACATTTGACATATATAC